TATTTAGAGTAAATTGACAAATGTCGGTTGAAAAAAGAACTTTAGTGACCAAGAATTTAATAACAAATAGTAATAAAATAAATAATATAAATACAAGTATCCTGGATTTTCTCAAACTTTCAAGTAATTCTGAATCGTTTGAAACTGAAATTGAGAAAAAAAAGGTGTAAGTGAGAAATTTGACCTTTTCGTCGATGTTTTCTACTAAAAAACGCCTCAAAAATATTTCTTTACAACATTTTAAGTTTCAAGACATTTTCTAACGATTTGCCTTTCTAATTGTATATAATGGTAGTCATGCATTTTGCCTTTTTAATTGTATATAATTGTAGTCATGCATTTTAACGCATCTATTCAAAGGGCTCTTAAGGACACACCGTTTGTACTATCGTAATTTGCATATATTATTCCCCAAAATTGACAACATTTTGGATTTCAAGATATTTTATAAAAACTTGCACTTCAACAAAATTATTGCAATGCATTTTACTGCATTTGAAGGGCTCTTAAGGACGCACCGTTTGTACTACAATTGCATATGTTATACCTCAAAGTATCTATATTATTAACAAGTACTAAAACTAACAAGTTTTCTAACAATATTTTGATTTTCAAGACATTTTATAAAAACTTGCACCGTTTATCAAAATTGTACTCATGCACTTTAGTGCATCTATTCAAAGGGTTATTAAGGACGCACCGTTGGTACTACAAACTTGTAATTTGCATATGTTATACCTCACAGTATCTATATTATTAACAAAAACTAAAACTAACAAGTTTTCTAACAAGATTGTGAGTTTCAAGACATTTTATAAAAACTTGCATCGTTTATCATAATTGTACTCATGCATTTTAGTGCATCTAGTCAAATGGCTTTTAGGGACGCACCGTTTGCACTACAAAGTTGTAATTATAATATATTATGCTCTAAATTGTCTGTTACTAAAACAAATATTAAAATCGGTGGGTTTTCTAACAACATTTTGAGTTTCAAGACATTTTTTAAAAACTTGCATCATCTATTCAATATTGTTTTGGGTCTGAATTTTTTTACGGTGCTCAAGTTTGTATGAATTTTTGGAATTAGGTTCATCTTACTCTCAAGTTCAAAAGTGAAAATAATTTAGACTGCTTTGCCACTTCCTGTGGGGACATCCCTTTTCACTGGTGCAATTGTATTTTTTTTTTAAATAACGTCGGATATCGATAAAAGAACTAATTATAAGAGAAAAATGTTTCATAATGTTTTTCAAAAAAGCAAATACTTTTCAAGTTACTGGCTACTAAAAATTCGTTTTTTTTGGGCGTTTTTCACCATTTTTTTTTGCAAATATCTCCAAAATTATACATTTTAACGAAAATCATGTAATGAACAAAATTAATGATTAAAATTTGATAAACCGGTGTTTTTGTGTCCTAGGAACAATATTAGGATATATATAAAAATGGGGTTTTAAAGTGCTCAAAATAAGCTTTAAAATGTGTACTTCCGCGTGTAAAATGAGTGAGCTATCATGCAAATAAAAGACGCATACAATGTTTTTTTTTATTTAAATCAAATAGTTTTTGAGTGCCATTTCCACCAAAATTAAAAATAATCGTATTCTATTTAAAATTCTTGGTTTGAGAGATCTCGGTGGATTCTAGAAAATACCACAACTTAGTACAAACGATTTTCAAAAAACTCATAATTTCATGAAAAAAAATCTATTTGAAACAAAACAATCAATATCTCATTATTATATCTCTGAAAGAATAAAAGACACGTATAAAGGTATATAGAAGAAAATTCAAGATCTTTTTCTGACTAATTATTGCTTTTTATTATTTTTCTGCTACACAAATATTGATAGAGTTATGATTGTTTAAAGAGTAGGTGCGGCCGTAAACCAGAGTGTCTTTCGAGCCCTTTAACCCTTCGCCGTTTCAAAATAAGAGAAGCTACGGTAAAATTTATGATAGAGAAAGTTGTAGGTCATTTAATTACCTTTAAAATAGTATATTACAAGTTCTGATAAAATCAGAATTAAAAGAATTATAATTCAATTAATTTGGGGGGTGGTGACGGAATGCAAATTATTTTCACTTCCGAATTTAAGATTAAGCTTAGCATATGTCCAAAAATATCACGCAAATTGGAGCACAGTAAAAAAATTCGCAGAGCACACGCTTTTTTTCCTCTCCGTTTACTGCAATAATTTTTTTGATCGTAGGTTGAATAGAGCACACTGAACAGGATTTGTCAAATTAATTCACTTCAAATACGAACTTAAGAAATATGTATATTGAATTATTAGTGAGAAAAATGTAATTTAGATATTAAAATACTGAAAGCCAGTTAAAATATGGTACGAAATCATAAAAATTATGGGCAACATTATTGAAGCAATTATTTTGAGTGAAAAAATCCAAGGTGATATTGTACTTTTACCGCACATGCTATATATTAATTATTTCTGAAATCGTTATAGTGTTTAAAAGACTGCAATTTGCAATACGTATATCTTATGCTATAAATCACAAAGACATACGATGAATTTTTGTGTGATAAGTTTGGAAAATCAATGTTTTAGTCGTGAATAAACAATAAATCATTTATTTATACATCTACATCTACACATGTACGACTAAAAATATTGGATAACCCTTAAATGCAATAAAAATAAATTGAGCTATTGGAAATAAATTTGTTCTATAAATTGCGGTGTATAATTTTTAACATACAATTTTATTGAACATATTTTAATATTTGTTAAAGGGATAATTAAAGTGTTAACTGTGGGAATTGAGAATAATCATTTTATTTGAAGCAGTTCTACATTTAACATCACTCATATATTGGTGTAAATAGTAATTCGAAAAACAAACAATAATTAACTTTCCGTAGGGTAGTTATAGTAATAGGCCGAAAATCGAAAATGAAAATTTTTGCATTTCTCGACGTTTTGAAGATTTCTGAACATTTTGGCATACCTCAGAAAAAATGGATGGGTGTGTGTGTGTTTTGTATGTCCGCATTTTTTCGTCCACGTTTTCGGGCGCACGGATTAACCGATTTGAATGGTTTAAAAAACATTCGATTCCTATTGATAGGAAGATGTGCTGATTAGTTTTTGGCAACGGCAGGTCCAACCGTTACGGAGATACGGAGCAAAGAGTGCAGAAAATAGAAATCTAGTTTTTGAGAGAACGGAGCATCGGATTTGAATGATCTAAAAAACATTCAATTTGTAATGATTGTGAGAAGAGGTGATTAGTTTTTGGCAAAGACAGGTTCCGCCATTTCGAAGATACAGAGCTAAATGTGCAAAAAATGGCAGTTTTTGAGTGAAATAAGAGTCCGATTTGAATGATATAAAAAACTTTCTCTTGTATTGACAAAACAATTGCTTTTGAGGATAAATGGAAAATTATTACATCTTTTTTTATTTTCCATAAAATATTTTTGTAATTTTTAACTTCCCGTAGGGTAAGTTATTGTAATGGGCCGAAAATCGGAATTGAAAATTTTTACATTTCTCGACGTTTTGAAGGTTTCTGAACGTTTTGGCATACCTCAGAAAAAATGGATGTGTGTGTGTGTGTGTGTATGTATGTATGGATACAAATTTCCAGTCACGTTTCAGGGCTCACGGATCAACCGATTTGAATGGTTCAAAAAACATTCGATTCCTATTGATAGGGAAAAGAGCTGATTAGTTTTTGGCAAAGACATGTCTAGCCGTTTCGGAGATACAGAGCAAAGAGTGCAGAAAATAGAAATCGAATTTTTGAGAGAACGGAGTATCCGATTTGAATGATCTAAAAAACATTCAATTAGTTATGATTGGGAGAAGTGTTTATTAGTTTTTGGCAAAGGCAGGCCCAGCCATTTCGAAGGTACGGAGATAAATATGTAAAAAATGGCAGTTTTTGAGAGAACTAAGCGTCCGATTCAAATAATTCAAAGAACTTTCTGCTTGTCTTAACAAAATAATTGATTTTGGATTTTTTTTTTTTTTTTTTGTATATCGAAAATATTTCAGATTTTATTTTTAATTCTGACTATAGTTCTAATATACTTTACAAATAATTTCAACTCTGCATTCAGTATTCCTCGAACATTTCGTTACGGTACGGGAAGTTCCAGCAATTTGTCTTACGGCACGATGCCATAATTGCCTCAAGACAGAATTCCACTTACAGCTAGTTTGAATTAAAATTTTAAAAAATTACCCAGGCTAAGCACAGTCTAAGCGCCACTCTGGTACAAATGTTTACCCAAGTGCGTTTAGACTGCTTATGTATTGGAGCACTTTTCCAATTTTGTGAAAACTGTTGAAAAATGTGAAAATGCCGCCAAACTAAGCACAGTATAAGTGAAAATGTCGCACAGAATTAAATGCAAATGCGTTTAGACTGTGACTATGCGGGAGCAATTTTGTGCAAATTAGGCATTTTTTTTTTTTTTGAATTGAATTCGAAATGAAATGACGATTGTTAATGTTCTGGAGATAAATTGATTTATGATTTATGATTGGCATTTGATTTGCTCAGATATAACAAGATAGTAAAAATAATGAAAGTTACAGTATTTGTAATAATATATTTGAAAACGTTTAAAATTTCTCGAATATTTCATTACGGTACGGAAAGTTCCAGCAATTTGCCTTAAGGCACGATGCCATGTATGCCATACACACACACATATATATATATATATATATATATATATATATATATACACTTTGTATCTATGTATGTATATGTAGATGTGATGACCAATGTCATTATCTATTGAATATTCACTGATAATTCTAATATCTGCACTTGTAATACCTTTTGATAGTTACAGATAAAGCCATAATATTATCGCCGAATTTTTTTCTTTTCACGTAATAACCCATCATCGGAAATTAGTCGTTCGTCACCTTGCCGCCGTTTGCCAGCTGCTGCTGCGGCTCATAAATAATAAAATCACCATCGAACCAATTAAATTAATTAATTCATCTACTAATTATTGCAGAGTGATTGATTTTATTAAAGTGCACAAGTGCTTCATTAATCGTGTATTTTTTTATTATTTAATTTTTTTAATTGTGACGAAATGGCCGCTCTGTGTTCCGTGCGTTGTTTGATCGCTTTGGCGCTGGTGGCGCTCGTTTCTTATGTAACGAGCCAAGTCGATGATGGTAAATTAATTAGAAAATAATTATTTATTTATATCTTATTATTGTTGTTTGAAGCTGTAAGGCTTTATAAAACTGTAGTTTGTGTATGTAAAAGATTTAGTTGTAAGTGTTTTATAGTTTTCTTGGTTTTTGGTTTTAGGCGTGGCTTACGCCATTGTGTGGCGTAATTGTGAACTAACAAAAGACGAATTTATTCACTTTCAATTGCTATTTTATAGTCTACAAAGTTGTTGTAGGTTTTTTTGGTGTTAGACAAAGTTGTGCAGAATTTAATTGTCTACAAATGCTTCATATATGCAGTTTTTATCACATGAATATTTCAGAAGTTATTTAAGATATAATGAATAAATGTGCGTCCTCTGTATGTAGTTGATGGAACGTGTTTAATGGAGTTTTTTGAGTAATTTGGATTGTCGTAAGAATTTTATTATATTATTTACTGTTACAGTATTTTTTTTTATTTTAATACGAGAATTTATGTCTAGTTGTTCTATGGTCATTTGTTCTTAAATCAAACTTATAGACAATTTAATTTTAAAGGACTTATTAAATTACTTTCATTTTAATTAATTCCATGGTTTAAGATCTCGTTAAAAAATTATAATTATTCTGAATTACGATTTTGAAGTATCCGAGATTTTGTAAGGATTATAATACTAGATATTGATTTCGATGATCTGGAAATGATTTCAGTTTTGAGGAAAAAGAAAAAGTCGTTCGTCGAATAATAAATAAGAGTAAAATATATTATTTTTGCATAACAATTACATCACAATTTTTCTAAGAAGTTGTTATATATTTATTTCAATTATCTCTTTCTCTTGTGCTATCAAAAGAATTAATTTACTATTATATGACTAATATAGATTATTATCACAGTATCATTTTAAATATCTTTTTTTTTTCAATTCGGTCATTTTATATTTTTTCAGCTTTTCAAGTCATTTTGAATCGTTTCAACACTGAAATTAAAATTAATTAAATATAAATATTTTATCGTATCATATAATCAAATATTTTATCCTGAAGAAAAAACAAAAAAATGCGAACATACAAAACACACACACACACACATTCATTCAGTTTCTGAGGTATGCTCTTTAAAAATGTTCAGAAACCTTCAAAACGTCGAGAAATGCAAAAAAATTCATTTTAGTTAATTAAAAATGCAATGTTTTTTTTTTAAATAAAATATTAGATATTTTGTAGATGTTATTAGACGTCGAAAATAGAATAATTTTTACCTTATTTGGAAATACATTTCATTAGATGTACTACAATAAAAACAATACAATGGTATACCTTTGTTTTTACTTTCAATTTAAGTACAAGGAATGCGAAGGTTTGGGAAAGGGCTTGGCTTTTGTAATATATTATATATATATATATATATATATATATATATACTAGCTGGTCCGGCAAACGTTGTTTCTGAAATATTTCTAGAACATTGATTGTGAATATAGAAGTGTAAGGTATATAAGTGAAAAGGCAGCTAACACAAATTATATGTATGGTTTACCCATTGCAACGCATGCCACATACAAAAAATGTTCATTGGGCGTATTAATATTCATTGCAAGTGCCAATCTAATCTCAAACTGATTTCATTTCAATTGAATTGACTGACACATTTTGATATTTATGGTTTTGATCTATTATTACAGCGCTTTTCAATAATTCATTAATTTTACGAAGTGAAATCCAAACATCCATTAACTTCCCGTAGGGTAAGTTATAATAATTGCAAAAAAATCGAAAATGATTTTTTTACGTATCTTTACGTTTCAGAGGTTTCTGAACATTTCGGCATACCGTAGAAATTATTGATATATGTGCGGATACAATTTTTCGCCCACGTTTTCGGGCGCACGGATCAACCGATTTGAATGGTTAAAAAAACATTCGATTCCTATTAATAAAGAGATGTGCTAATTCGTTTTTGGCAAAGGCAGGTCCAGCCGTTTCGGAGATACGGAACAAAGGGTGCAGAAAATAGAAATTGAGTTTTTGAGAGAACGGATCATCCGATTTGAATGAACAACATTTAATTTGTATGCTTATTGCAAAACATTTTATTTGTTTTGAAGAAATGAAGAACTTATTGAATTTTTGGAAATGTAGTTCTAGCGGTTTTGGAGATCGAACAAATTTTTTTAAAAAAAAACGCCATTTGACGATTCAAAATGCAGTCTAAAGCAGTACGCAGCGCAATTGCTTTGAAAATAAGTTCAAAATATAAAAATATCAAAACTTTAAAAAAAAAATTTTTTAATTATTTTTGGTATGGGAAGTTTCAGTAGTGATTACTAAAATGGCTATTACGATCGTAATCTACGATCACTACTTCGAAATGTAAGGTTTTATATCTTCTTTAATTATGAAATATAAAAAATGTTCCAAAAACAAAAAAAAACTTAATGGTAACCAACCCTTAACACATTACGTATGAAAAATAAATTCTGGCCGATCAGGCATGGCCTAGCGTGATTATAAAATTTCTTAAAAATCGTTCAAACCGTTTCAGAGTATAGTTAATTCAATTTTTAAATGTAACGGTCTTTTAAGTTGGGTGTGAAGTTGGCTAATAAGTTGAGTGTGAAGTTGGATAATAAGTTGAGTGTGAAGTTGGTGTTATGTGTAATGAAAGTGTTGTAGACAGTATTTTGAATATAGAGAATTGGTGATGAGTTAATGGTAATTTAATATAAATTGTAAAAGATTACATATATATACATATATATATATATATATATATATATATAAAATTATTATTGTTTTAGGATTCAGTCGAGCCCTGGACGACCGTTGCAATTATGACCAGGACTGTCGTATGAAGAATGTTTTCTGTGACCAGTCTCAGGGTAAATGTGTCTGTAAAAAGGGCTTCAGGCTTACCAAGGAGAGAAACGATTGTATAGCTGGTGAGTAGAAAAATATTTTTATAATATTTCTTTATGCGCGACTAGGGTGTAAATCCGTACAAATGCAACGGAAAAAGCGTTACGCCCGAACTGTACGTTATTCGCTCTTGATGAGATCATTTTTATACGGGTCGATTGTGATTAGTCGTCGTGTCGTGTGAATAGAGAAATGTCGTTGTATGCGTACCGACATCAACAAGGAAATCGGCATAGATAAATAAACATTTTTAAGTTACATCGTAGTACAAATCTTGATCTAATAAAAAATGCCTGAATCAGAAGAATATTTTACCTTGTCCCCCGTTAATAATAAAACAAACTAAAAATTTGGGCCGTGTACTAAACGTAAGTTTATTGATTAGAAATTATTTCCATTTTATTCGAAGTTTCTATAAATCGTTGAAGTTATTAAAATGGAAAATATTTTTTAGACTAGACAAAATATTGCAGATGTTCAAATAATGAGATTATATCGCCAGCAAAATAGTGAAAAAAACAAGAAGTCAATGAATGTATGTTAATTTTAATCACATAAAGTTCTTCAAACACAATTATTACATGATGAGTGAAGTTGCGAAAACAATATTTGTTTAGGCGTTGTTTAACATAATCCACTGTGTGAACGAATATTATAGAATTAATTATTAAACCAACAATTACTTCATTTCTCTAATGAAGGCTCGAGTCCTAAATGCTAATTACAATGACAAACCGATCATGTCGTATTTGAAGTATGACTTTAATTACATTATTATTTCTAAATAATATACATATTTTTAATGCAATCATGAATATATAATTTATAATTTATCATTATATAAATGTGTATAATGGTTGACACTAATAAATGAGTGCATCGCAAGTGTTACCCATATTACTTATAAACATTATTCAAAAATGTTATATGATGTATGTATTTTTACTTAAATGCCATCTTGTACAATAGCAAAAAAGTTTTACTTCAATCGCGTTAACCTTACGCGCACTCTTTTTTTTAATTAGTATTTATTTCTTTTAGCTGTTGGTGCTATATGTATGTCAGATCAAGAATGTGCCAGTCTTCCCAATTCAAGATGCGATAGTGGCATTTGTGTTTGCAAATTCAACTTTGTGCCTCATCCAGAAGACCCAATATGTCTAGAACGTAAGACTATATCCTTTTAACTGAAACAAATCTTCTGCCTTTTAATTGTTTTTATTCATTTATTTATTTTGCAGGTAAACAATTGGGTGAACACTGCAACGTAGGCGAACAATGTCACACAAAATTCAACTTCAATGCTCATTGTGTCCGAGAAGTCTGTGTGTGCAGGGAAGATCACCACGAATCGAGGAACAGAACTTGCATCCAATCTAAAGGTAATAATACTAATATTCTATATATATAAAAAATAAGTCGGGTTTTCCTTCGTGGAAAGGTCTCGGGCTCCGCAAGGTTTATAACTAAGAAAATTAGTTGTGCATGACATCGTGCCCTAATGCAAATTGCTGGAACTTCATGCACCGTAATTAAAAATTCGAGTAATGGCATTAGTGAGAATTATCAGGATTATGCTTGGTTAAGTCAACGAGCAATTCTTGCCGCAAAGAATAATGATGTACACGCACTGAATTTCACCATTCAATCAAAAATTGCTGGCGATTTGGTAACATACCAATGATTCCGACTGGTCTTTTGTTTGACTTCAAACGAAAGCAGTTTCCAGTTCGCCTTGCGATCGCAAAGACAAGTCGCAAGGTCAATCGCTTAGTGTTTGCAGTATAAATTTCAAATAGATTATTTAGAAAATTATTGTTTTTCAAATGGGCAGTTATACGTTGCCTGTTCACGAGTTGGAAAACCATCCGCTTTGTTTGTGTTAACGTCAGACCAAAAAACAAAAAATGTGGTTTACCAAAGAGCACTTCAATGAAACGGATAATTTGCGGATTCACTTTCATTTACTTAGAGAAGTTCAACTAAAAAACACTTCATTTTTGTAATCGAAATAAATTCATTACTGTTGTATAATAAAATCACATTTTTCCTTTTCGAATATGAAACAAACAAAAAATTTCTTCATCTTTTTCACAAAACCATCTGGTGGCGAAACGGAGTTCGTCGGGTTTGCTAATTTATTAATATATTTATAATGAAATTAAAATAATTGTATGTATTTTATAGGCTATAACCAGAATTGCGTTGATGATATCGAATGTTTCATCGGAGAAGAATACAGAGACAGGATCAGGTGTTTCCAGAACAAGTGTCTTTGCAAACCTGAATTTCAAGTCACTGAGGACGGAAAATGCGGATGTGAGTATATATATATATATATATATATATATATATATGTATATATATATATATATATACTAGCTGGCCCGGCAAACGTTGTTTTGCCATAAAAAATACTTCTAGTATAAAATGTTTAGTACAAAAATAACTATAACTGATTACAAATGTTGTGCATAGGTGAAAGGAACAGCTAACAAAACACATTTGAATAGTTTACCCACTTCAAAGCAAGGCACATAAAAATGTTTGTAAATTTCTATTTTTTTCCTCAAATATTGTCAGTGTCAAACAATGATAAGCGGTCTTTTGTAAGTTTTTCCATTTATTTCTACAATCTAGCTATATTTCTATAAATCAAAAAATCCTAGAAAATTTCCTTAACAAACTTCAAAAAGATTTATCGAAATACGAATAATCGTTTAGGAAGATTTTTCTTTTATACATCATTACAGAAGATTTTTATATTGATTAATATTTCATCATTACATTTATTTATTTTTTCAGCCGGAGCTCCAGGTACACAAGTGTGGTCCTCGGTTATGACATTAGCAGTTATGGCATCAGTAGCAAAAATCATCACGATGTAAAATAAGAAAAGTACAAAAAAATAAGAAAAATATTAACAAAAACATTACATTCAATTTAGCTATAAGGAAACATCTTTTTCGAAGTCAATAGTGGTAAATATAAATTTAACAATAATTAATAGAAATATGGAGCGCCTGGATTTAAAACTTAATTTAAATTTATTGTAATTCTGTAGGTTTTGCTTAGCAACTGATATGTTTTTAGATTCGATCTCTTCAAATTAGTAGTTAAATTAGCTTTTTGTACAATTAGAACAACAAAAAATGCTAGATTGATTTTTAAATCAATTAATTGATATAATACTAAAATGAATTTTTATTATTTTCTTTAAACTTTACATAAATTTTAACTATTTATCATTTTCTCTCACTGAGTCATTAAATTAGTGATTGTAGTATCGATTTAAATAATTGCAATAAGTACAATTTAATTAACTATAGGTTTAAAACGTTTAATTGTAAATCGACGAATAAATTACAAATTAATAATACATACTTTTTGTTCAATCTTTTTCGGATAGCAATCAAAGACAAAATGGAATACTTATATATAAGTGATTTTATATAATTTATTTTCAACAGACTTAGCATTTAATAAGTCTTATGATTATATTTATTTAAATGTAGCACATAACTTGCTTTGTATTTAAGATACAAAAAAAAGCTTGCTAGATAATTTATAAAACTTTTTATATATTTACAAAACAATTTAATTGCCTACATTTATATTTATTTATTCCATTCAAACCCTTGTTCATTTATCACATATCTATTAACAAATTTATCTTTTGCAGTTTCAATACAAGCTTGAAAATATTTCACATCGACAGCATCAGCATCCATTTTAACATCCCCATCACAATCCATCTTCTCATCTTCTGCTAATTCCAATTTAACACGATAATTAATACATCCACTTCTAGGTACTTCAGTAAAATTATCTCCAGTGTTTTTAGTAAAAAAATAACCAGGCCTTGTATAGAAAAAGACAACTTTATATTCCCAAGTAGCACCTTGAATACTCCTCAAAATCGTTCGGTAGTAAGTATCCATTTTAATTTGATTTTGTTCAGACCAGTAGAACGATGCTATGCTATCCATTGCTAAAATACAAACATCTGTGTTCTGTATCAAAATATCATCGAGTCTTTTGATAGTCACGTTCAACTGCATACTATCATGACATTGTAGAATATTAAAATTCACCAAAGACTCCTTTATTATATCGTTTATATCTTCATCTTGTGTTGTGGCAAATTTTTCCAAAGCTGTCACTAGTTTGATGATTTGAAAGTGGCAGTCGGTGTCTATTAAAATGACTCCAACGTTTCGTCCGCCGTGTCGAACAGGTAAAATGGCTTTAGCTATGATTTCTGTAAGTAATAATGTTTTACCGGTGTTGGAGTCCCCGGTTATTTCTATTATTTCTTTGGGAAATGGGCCCCCGTTTGGGAATAGAACTGTGTCGAAGTCGTTTAGAAGAGGACGGTCGTCTAAACGACTTAGTAATTGGAGGCCGGATTCTGCTTTATTCATTGGGATAAATAATAAATGTTAAAAGGACATTTTTAACAATTGTGCACAAACGTCAAAGTTTTGATTGTTCAAAATGGCGTTACGCCAACTGTCATTTGAAAGGTAACCAAATTTTGTAAAATAAAAACATTTAATATAATTTTGTGTTAAGACTAACTTTAATAGATTAAATTAATTAATTTATAATAATTTTATTGTGACTTTGATAAAATTATTTAATATTTATAAAATTTAGTTATCAAATTTTTAGTTTCTACAGTTGGTAACGACTTGCAATGGCGTGAAGCAACTTTCTTTCAAAACTACAAAATGTCAAATAAATAGTATTAAATCCTTTATATTCAGTTTAGTTGTGTGATTATAAATACAATGATTTGTGCGAGTGTAAATATTACTTTTATGTAAGTAGTATCGTTGTTTAGTGTTGAAATATGTTTTTAATTTGTATAAATAGTTTTTGAAAAGATCTAACCTCAAACTTAAGCATTATGATTCAGATCATAAATCGTTTCTTTTAGGTTATTATTATTGTTTACAATTGTGTAAATGACTATGCACATAAATATTACTAAATTTGAAGTGGTATCGTCCTGGAGTGTTAAAATATGTTTTTAAAGTGTTTAAATAGTTTTTGAAAAGATCTAACCTCAAACTTTAGCATATTTTCAGATAATAAAACGTTTCTTTTAAGTTATTGTTATTAATTATAATTGTGTGAATAACTATTTACTTGTATAAATATTACTAAATTTGAAGTGCTATCGTTTCCTAGTGTTAAATTATGTTTTAAAGTATATGTGGACTTAGTACTAGTAAAGTTTAAAGACTCACGTTTTTGTGGAAAGATAAATTGTGAGCAGAATCAGTAGTTTTAAGGTAAGTGGATCTCAAATTATGTATTGTATTTATTATTAATCTGCATATATATATATATATATATATGTGTGTAAAAAATTGTTGTATATAACATAAGTAAGTTTCACACATATGACCGTATAAAAATTCTTTATTTGATACACTGGTATCCAACCTTTTTATAGGGAACTCAACCCGTTTTTTTTTTTTGAAAATCTCTCTTCTTAATTTTTCTAACAATCTATTTTCATTACTATTTGAATTATATAATTTAATATCTCTTATCCATATTATTTAAAAATATGCATTAAAATTAATTATTTTCTCATTTTCCAAAATAATATTTTGGAAATAAAAATATGCATTAAAAATAATTGCTTTCTCATTTTCTAAAATAATATTTTGGAAATAGCTGTGCGCCCCCCTGGTAACATGTTGTAACATGTGAGTCTGCAGACTCACGCCCCACAGATTGGAAACCACGAATTTAATGTATTTGAATATATTATTTATTTAATTAATTCAGAACATCAATACTAAATGATAAAAGATAGTTTAACAATTTTCCATGACTTCAAAATGTTTTAATACTTGATCAAATATATAATATTTACATTAAAACAGCAATTTAACAATGAAGCCCGGTGCACACGACGCCAGAATTTCTTGTAACAGGATTTCTGTCAAGTTTTCTGGTAAGGTGAGCAAGGATTTTAAAGGACAAACATTAAATTAATTTTTAAAATTTAAATATATTATATTTACATAAAACTTTTTAATAACCTTTTTAATATTTTTAAAACAATATCAATTATCCGATAAAGATACTTATTTTAAAAATCAATAATTGTTATGCTAAACTGCAGCATTTTATTATCAGTTTATTATTATTATTTCAATTAATTCTTAGAAATATAAGAATAAATCATCTTATGGATTCATCCTAATCGGATACGATACAAATGTGTTTATTGTTTACATTTCAAACAATGCTCTGTTTGTACACTTAAATGTTTAGTGCATTTTATGCTTATATTTATAACAACAATCTATTTGAAAATGCACAAAATTATTATTAATCATAAAATAAGTGAAAATATGACACAAAATTCTTGCTCACCTTACCAGAAAACTAGACAGAAATCCTGTTACAAGAAATTCTGGCGTCGTGTGCACCGGGCTTTATAAAAAATGCTATAAAACAAAAATAAATGAAATAAAATAAAAATTCTAATGTTAAATATATAATATTATATTACTTAAGTGTATGAAATATCTTATAACAATATTAAGCACTTTACAAATTGAGAATCGACTTTTAAAAAATAAACTTAAGAACAATTGTTATTAATATAATAATTAAATATATAATAATATAATAATTTTAAATTATTTAGGCAGGTGGAGGTCTTGGCATGCGCATATAAACCTGAAAATAAATTGAAGGGGTAAAATAAATCAAAATTTAATAAATAAACTTGTATTATATGCAGTATAATTGAATAGCCATACGATCTTAAATAAAATGTCAAAAAATAAAAAAAGAGATATCTCATAGGAGATAATCTCTTAAATGCATTAACACCAACATCATATTGTCTTAAAAATGTATATTATTTTGATTGACAATAAAACTATGCAAATAAAAAATATGCAGTATAATTAAAGAATTAATATATACTCGATTATGTATATTAATATTTTTATTATACGTGAAATAAGGATAATAATGAATTAAATTTTTATTATACGTGAAATAAGGATAGTAATGAATTGAAAATCTAATAACGATTAATAATAAATATTAATAATAATATAATATGAAATAAATATTATTATTATAAATTTACTATAATTTAAAAAAAATATATCCTCCCCGGCGGGGAATCGAACCCCGGTCTCCCGCGTGACAGGCGGGGATACTGACCACTATACTACCGAGGACTTGTATTAACACAAGACTAAACATATATACTATCTAACCAAACAGATTGCCTTCTATCGCTGTATTAGTTAAAGATAAGAGAGCAATGTTATCCGAGAATATTGTTATAAAATTACTTATTTAAAGTCTATAGTATATTTCCATTTACCTTGAATCCGTCATATATGAACCATTGCAAGGCTGTCAATGTACCTATCATGGCGATCCTCAGGCCGAGTCCTTTCCACAAACCGTAGAAGCCTAATTTTTGAGCAATTTCTTTGGCACTCACTCCCTGAAAATAATAAATTCAATAATAATATAAAAAGAGTAAAGAAAGAATTATTACAAAATGTGAAATAGAAAGAATTCTACTAGGAAGAAAAGGAAACTGAGTTGGTCCATATTAGAAAAAGCCTTCTGCACCAAATTAAGGAGTAAAAACATATATAATGTGAAAACATGATTTAAGAATTGAAGAACAGAAAACATGACGACAAAAAAAGAAATTCAAAAACTAAAAAATGAAATATGATGGAAAAATGAATAATTAAAATCCGCTCACAGGACAGAGCACCAATAATAAAATTGTTTTATTAATTAAATTTATTACAAATAAGGGTTCAAGAACTAAAAAATGAAATATGATGGAAAAATGAATAATTAAAATCAGCTCAGAGGACAGAGCACCAATAATACAATAATTTTATTATTTAAATTTATTACAAATAAGGGTTCAAGAACTAAAAAAAGAAATATTATGAAAAAATGAATAATTAGAATCGGTGAAATCGATTCGAATTGAAAAAAAAAATTAAAAAAATATGATGTTTCCGCCCGGGATCGAACCGGGGGCCTTCCGCGTGTTAGGCGGATGTGATAACCACTACACCACGGAAACCATGCGTCATAATAGAGACTTTCTCGTATGTAAACCTAATATTAAGTTTATTTTATGATTTAATGCTTTCGCAACGTTTCGGGTCATTGTGAATCGTTTGCCAAATTTTTTTTCAGCATTTTTGCCAAAAGGTCGGCCATAAATAGTATTGATTGTAGTGCACCCCTGCTATAATTTAATAAATAATTCTAGTATGTTCTGTCGCCAGAAATATTAAACCTCTTGGAAATATTATATTTTATTCTCAGTACGTCGCGGAATTTACTCATACAAATGCATCTAGTTAATTCAGAATTATTTCACACGTAAACATACCTTCCGGTAAGATCTCTGCAATTATGCTTAACTAAGCATTTTAGTTTAATTTAAATTATTAAAGCATAAAACAGGGCAGTCCGCAGTCGGCTGTCGAGCCGGCAGCATCTTCAAAAGTAACCTCCAAAACGTAGTATTTTATAAATAATATTTTCAAACCCAGACAAAAGACCTAGTCTGAGATGCATAAAGGCACTTCCTTCGCTATACAAACAAAAAAACACTCACACATGCACACACATCCATTTTTTCTGAGGTATGCCAAAATGTTCAGAAACCTCTGAAACGTGAAGCTATAAAAAAAATTCATTTTTGGCCCATTACTATAACTTACCCTAAGAAAAGTTAAAAAAAGTTAGTTGGTTCCATGTACCATATTTAAAGAAAAAGACTTCAAATTTATTTATATATTATCACTAGCAAACCCGACGAACTCCGTTTCGCCACCAGATGGTTTCGTGAGAAAGATGAAGAAATTTTTTGTTTGTTTTATATTTAAAAAGGAAAAATGTGATTTTATTATACAACAGTAATGAATTTATTTCGATTACAAAAATGAAGTGTTTTTAGTTGAACTTCTCTAAGTAAATGAAAGTGAATCCGCAAATTATCCGTTATCATGGAAGTGCTTTTTGGTAAACCACATTTTTTGTTTTTTGGTCTGACGTTAACACAAACAAAAACTCGTGAACAGGCAACGTATAACTGTCTATGTGAAAAACAATGATTTTCTAAATAATCTATTTGAAATTTATCCCGCAAACACTAACCGATTGGCCTTGCAACTTGTTAGTTGTCATTGCAAACGCAACGCGAACTGGAAATTGCAATCGTTTGAAGTCAAACGGAAGACCAGTCGGAATCATTGGTATGTCACCAAATCGCCAGCAATTTTTTATTTAATGGTGAAATTCAGTGCGAGTACATCATTATTCTTTGCGGCAAGAATTGCTCGTTGACTTAACCAAGCATAATTCTGATAATTCTCACTAATGTCATTACTCGAATTTTTAATTACGGTGCGTGAAGTTTCAGCAATTTGCATTAGAGCACGATGCCATGCACCACTAATTTTCTTAGCTATAAACCTTGCGGAGCCCGAGACCTTTTCAACGAATGCAAAATTGTCGAAATCGGTTCGTGCGTTCTGGAGTTATTTCGTCAGGAAGGAAAACCCTACTTATTTTTATATATATAGAAGATAATTATTTTCACCTTCTGTTTGCTCATTTGCGACACCAGAGTATCAGCTGGATGCGAAACAACGGCGCAGAACACTCCTGCGATATAGCCTGCTGCAAAAGTCACAATCAGCTGCTGCCCTTTTGTGCACTGCTCCCTCGGTTTGGGGACGACATACCTAGAAAAATAAAATAAAATAAATAATGATCATACTTTATTTATTATTATTTCTATTATACTTGTAGAGTAGTACGACGGTTTTTTCAAAGCTGGCAAACTTCATCATCGTGTAAGGGATTTGTCGGAACCATAGGGGCACGATACTCTTGTACAATGTGCCGAAGCCCTCTTCATTGATCATTTTGGGGATTCCGTCCATTACGCCGTTTGCGTAACCGTCTATTGTCTGGACACGAACCTAAATAAAAGACATAAATCATCGATTTAATTATTTGGAGACACATAGTAAACACAGAAACACTAGTAAACACAGAAGTTAAATCTACGAAACGTTTATTAACATTGTTACTTAGTGGTTACGTTAATAAAACGTTTCTGTTACGTAGAAATGCCATGCGACAAAGGCACTTATAATTATACTTTTGGTCATAGACATTACACTACATGGACTCCTAATTCTCATATGTTTTCCATTGTAAGTGCTCAAATTTAGATGAGTATGTGACGTCACATGTCTGAGCGAACATTGCCGAACAAAATGATCAGTACACACAATTTCCATTATATTATTAAAATAAAGCATATGACATCCGCGGAAAAGTCCGCGATTGTCGTCGGCAATGTTCGCTCAGACATGTGATGTGTAACATGACCCTTATATGTTTGAGCACTTATTTTGCGCTCGACTAGCAGTCCATGTAATATAAGGTCTATGGTTTTGGTTCGTTACGTTACTTGTTTTGCATAGATTTAAAATATAGATAGGCTATATATTTTATCATTTTTTTACCTTTACGGATTCCAATGGACATAGTAAGATATCAGCAAAAAATTCGGCGCTGGCTGATGCAGCCAAATAAATTAAGCTGGTGAATCTGTGGTAAAAGTCGTCTCCCATGAGCTCTCGATATTTTACTTTGAAGACTTCATACAAACCGAATTTGCCAGCACCCTGGGGAAAAATTATTCGGAATAAACCTAATTATTTTTCAAAGAATTACGCACACAGAGGCTGTCGATCTATTTTAATGTAATTTTTAATAGCAGACATCCCAGTGGTTGTCCTCTCTATTTTGTTTTTGAAGCAAAACTTCTTTAGGCACGACTAGGGTGTAAATCCGTACAAATGCAACAGAAATGCGTCACGCCAGAACTGTACGTCATTTGCTCTCGATGATATCATTTCCATACGGGTCGATTGTGAGTAGTCGTCGCGTATGAGAATAGAGATCTATCGTTGTATGCGTACCGGTGTTTTAAAGTTGCATGTTGCATCGTAGTACAAATATTGATTTAATGAAAAATGCCTAAACTAGAGGAATATTTTACCCTGTTTCTTGAAAATAATAAAATAAATTAAACATTTGTGTCGTGTACTAAACGTAAGATTATTGATTAAAAATTATTTCTATATTATTCGTAGTTTCTATAAATCTTAAAGTTATTGAAATGGAAAATATTATTTAGACAAGACAGATATTACAGCTGTTCGAAGAATGAGATTCGCCAGCGAAAAAGTAAAGAAATACAAGCAGTCAATGAATGTATGTTAATTTTAATTACATGAAGTTCTTGAAATACATTTATTACACAATGAGTGAAATTGTGAAAACAATATTTCTTCAGGCGTTGTTTAACATAATCCACTATGTGAACGAATATTATAGAATTTATTAATCAGCAATTACCTCATTTCTCTGAAGAAGATTTAAGTCGTAAATGCTAATTACAATGAAAAACCGATCATGTCATATTTGAAGTATGACTTTAATTACATTATTGTTTTTAAATATTATACATATTTTTAATCGTATT